GTTTTGTATATGCCCTTGCATGTGTATTTGTGGTTTTTGGTAGAAAATGTAGTGAAATTTCTTACAGCAATACAATATAAAAGTTTACTTCATTACCTACCAAAAACCACAAATACAGAATTCAAGAGCATATCAACTGCTAAGTGGAAGATCGACCTATCTCGGCAGCCAGCTCGAAAACATCCTATCTCAAAAAACTTTTCAATTCGTTTTTTAGAATTCGTTTCAAAAACGTCCTATCTCAGCACATTTTCAATACATTTTGAAGTGAGATAGGGCCTTTTTGAACCGAACTCGGAAGCGTTTTTTAATAAAATTCTGAAATAGGGCGTTCTTGAAAAGTTTTTTGAGATAGGGCATTTTCGAACTGGCTGCCGAGGTCGATCTTCCACTCCGCGGTCGATATACAAAAAATCCCGAATAGCCGTATTTAAATAACGTTTTTGAAATTTAGATTGGAAAGTTATTAAATTTTTATGTTACATTTTTTTAGAGATTAATAATAAGACAATTAAATTAATTATTGTTAGATTTGTTATTATGTTTAATTTTTTTTTTTATTACAATTTGTTTGTACCTATTGTGGCTTAGGAACACGTGCTTTCTGATTTCCGCAATGAGGTCAATTTTGGGCATACTCACAAACGCATCTGTTGGAAAAATATAAATGCATTACTTCCTGAAATAAGTCAAATAAACAATTAAAACATATTTACCGAAAACTAATTCTATTGTTTTTAGCCCCAGAAGTGGAGCTTTGTTGGCTTTGCCCTCATAATTGTATGAAATGAGTAGAGTGTCGGCAAAAATGCTTCTCAACACGTGTTTCACACAACCCTTAGCACCCTTCAATTTTAAAATTATGTTCAGCTGGAAAAGATTATAAAATTTATAAATACTAGATATGTACATAAATGCAATTATAAATATAAATGTAAATAATAAAATATAATATATGACTACATAAACGAAATATAAATTAACACCAATCGAAAGATCTTATTTAAAATAGTAAAACTGCATCTTTAACTAAAAAATCGTCAAAATCTTTCACAGACAAGCAAAATATCATATGTTTACAGAGCGGTAAGTCACAGCAAAAACTGTTATTTAAAAGAAAATATTTAGTTGTTGAAAACAAATTTTTCAAAAGTTTGTGAACAGCGAAAAAGTAATTATATAATAAGAGCGTTCCAGATCGTCTACGATTTGCAGGATTTAGTCCAAAGTTGTTCCCATACGCCACGTTCACATAAGGTTTATCAAAGGCAGAAACAGCTGTTCCTGTAAAACCTGCAAATCCTAGAGTACGGGAACAAGCTAAATATGTATTCTGTTTTTT